GGAAGGAAGGAAGGAAGGAAGGAAGGAAGGAAGGAAGGAAGGAAGGAAGGAAGGAAGGAAGGAAGGAAGGAAGGAAGGAAGGAAGGAAGGAAGGAAGGAAGGAAGGAAGGAAGGAAGGAAGGAAGGAAGGAAGGAAGGAAGGAAGGAAGGAAGGAAGGAAGACAGACAGACAGACAGGCATTTCAGAGTCAGTCTGAGACTTTATCTCATGGTAGAAGTAGATAATGCAGCTATGATTGTATCACATCTAAAGGAGGGGGATGCTGGTTCCTGTGAGGTGAACAACCTTGATTTAGGCCACACTGCCAGTTGGTGGGTGCAGGGGGCAGTTCTGGGAAATGCAGAGGAGGAGGTAAGGAGTGGGTGAATGGCAGGATGAGAACAGGACAGGAAATGGGAAATGTGAGGCTTAGTAACAGGCATCTACTGGGAGTGAGTGAGTAGGAAGGGGCTGGGATAGCTAGGCTGAGTGCAAGTTAACTGCTGAGGGAGCTACTTCATCAATGGACTGATGATTGGGAGAAAAGAGAAAACTGAGGGAAAAGATGATAAATTCAGAATGAAGAAAACTCAGACAGGCTTTATGATTCTTTGTTTTCCTTTACTCAGTATCTATAGATTTCAACACCCTTCTCCTTCCCTACCACATAACTCTCCTAGGAGACATCTCTCCTATTGCCTTCCATAAAATGAATGTTCCTTGTCTACAGATTTTCACTTTGATTTGTACTGTAAAGGACAAATACGTTAACGTTAAATGGTATTTTCTAACATCGATTTATAAAAAAAAAACTATAGTATTTTAGTATTTAGAACCCATCATGCTTCAGCATCAAGTATAATTTGCTGGAGCTTTTCATCCATTTGCTTTACTTTGGGTATCAAATTAATTTTTTTTAATTGCCAGAAGGAGTGTGTGTTCATCACGGAGAAAGAAAGTACGCTCCCCCCACCCCCACAGGAGAACACATTCAAATCACCATCCTTTTTCCTCCACTTCTCCATCATGTCAGATCTGGCATGCGTGCATGCACACACACACACACACACACACACACACACACACACCCCTGGCATCCCTGGCATGTTTCCCAAGCCAGTGGAGCTGAGATTTGCACCTGGTATGAATCATGTGAGATCCGGTTTCCTACGCACAGGGCTTAACTGCTATGCTATGGCCAACTTAGTGAACAAATTATTTTATTTCACTCCCCTTGCTTTGGCATTTCCAAAGATCCCAGAGCTTACACGAAGAGCTTTCTGTAATCAAATGAAAGCACTTTACGATTTACCACAATGCATTTCTGGACACAGCACCATTAACCTAATCATTGTAAAAAGTCCCCCCATTGTCCCCTAGTCACAGGCACATAGTGCATCATAGGTCTGATCCAAAGCCAGTGTCAACTAAGTCACGGATCTAAAAGGCAGTAAGCTATGAGAGCAAATTTACCACCATCACACTAGACCTCTCCAATAACATTGAAAAGAAATACTACGGTGCAAAGTATGTTAGATGCTGGGAGTAGGATCCCAGATCTGCAAGGTGGCTTGGCTGGGTCACATAACGGTAAGAGAACCAGGTCTAGAATCCGGTTATCTGTGTCCTACCGACCACAATGCTTTTCCCTTCACCACACGGCCTGCCTGAGAAATGCTGTTGGTGATCATGGAAGGGTCCCCCAAAGGCTACAAAGCACAGTGACAACACAGACGTAACCTGATCAGCTGCCCTCCACATGCCAGACATTGTGCTAAACTTTTTATGTGAATTACTACTTTCTCATTGAAACCCCAAATGGCCCTAAAGATACTATTGTACCCCCACTCTACAGATGAGGAAACTACAGTTTAAAGAAGCTGAGAAACGTCTTGCCCATGATCATTGCTACTAAATGGAAGAAACATATTTAGCACCTTCTTCAAACTTATCTTCCATTTTCCAGTGAGAAGAAGGTCCCCAAGTGGCTAAATTATTTACTTAAGGTTACATAAGGGATTTGAAACTCAGCCTCTTAATACCATGCTTGGTCTTCTTTCCCCTCCACCAAGCCGCGAGTCAGCATGAACATGCCACCTACACAGTTTTTATACACTCAATAATTTTGTATTCTCCTTACAACTTAGAAAGGTTTCTGAGGAGATCCAGAACATACCCAGAGAAATATAACTTGATTCCTTCTTTTTCTCTAAGCATTTTTTTTTCAAAAATAACTTTGTAATGGTTCCATTAATTGTTCTTTCAATATTTATAATTGTTATACAGACATATGTGAAAGGGTCCAGAGAACCATTGTAGTCATGAGGACTCAGGAGAGAAGAAATTGTTTGAATTGATTCTCATTGTTAATATTCTTTTCTTCACTTTTCTCTGACCCCTGTAATGTTAAAGATGGCCTTGAACAAGGAAAGAAGTTAAAATAAGGAAATCTAAAAATGTGTAATACATAAGAAGGAAAGTTCTGTTGTATTCCTTTGCCTGAACAAAACTGTTTAAGAGTTGGCTGGGTTTAGGTTTTTTGTTTCTTTCTCTGTTTAAGATAAGCTATCCAGTCCCCTCCTTCTCTCTGCTGTTTATATGTGAACTACATGAGCAGCAATGGTTTGTAAATTGAAAAATAGATGGTCATAACATAAGACTGGCTACACAGAAGTGTCCATAAATAATCATTTACTCTGAGCATGAAGATCTAAGAATTATCAATACAATGCATACTATACCTTGTCAAAACAGTCGCATTTTGTGCTACGCTAGGTAATTAAAATAGCTGAAATATTACCATATCATAAAAGTCATATTTATCCTGTACTTACTACCATGAGGCGCTTATTAAATACATTATCTAATCCTTAAAACAACGCTTTATTGTTCTAAATATTGTTCTATGTGTTACAAATGATTTTTAATTCCCATTATAGAGATGATCAGTACTAAAAATAAAAGATTTCGAATCACTTACCCTTCATGACACACCTATTAAGTCTAAGCTGACTTAGACTTGAAAGAACGAGAGATCCTGTGTCTCAGGAAGTCTTAACCATCTATTGCTGTGGACACTGATTATTGTACACTAATGATGTACACTGCTGATGACTTTACAGTATAAGATTCTAGTTTAAAAATTATTAATATAGGGACCCACAGATGGCATCATGGTTACATCGCTGGACTTCCACTAGTCAATCGTGGTTTGAGTCCCAGACCCGGTGACTCAAAACTCACACCAGGCGCAGGTGTGCGAGCCCAAAATCCTGAGAGGAGATTAGAGGAGAAGGGATTGCAGCATGGCCAGTGCCCCAAGGGAGTGACTTCTTGCTTTCTTTTTCTCCTTTTCTCTCTCTCTGTCTTGCTGGTGAGTGCACACGCCCTATAGCAAAACAGCTCTCTTAAAAAAATGATTAATATAAGTTGCCAGGACTTTAATGAAAAATCAGAGAAATTCAGTCTGTATTAAGTCATCAGTGACAGATGAGGATATACATATATAGAATGGGATTTTCAAAAATCTCATCATCAAAAAAACAAGTTTATTTCCAACATAAATCAGAGAAATTCAGTCTGTATTAAGTCATCAGTGACAGATGAGGATATACATATATAGAATGGGATTTTCAAAAATCTCATCAAAAAAACAAGTTTATATCCAACATATGGAGTGCCTTAGAAGTTATAGAATATTTAGGCCAGCTGGTAGTGTGGTGGTTAAGGCACCTGGATCCCATGTGGCCAACAATGTGACTTGAGTCCTGGGCCTAGAGGCTTGAAAAACACT